TTTGAGTCCGTTAATTACAAGATATGGCAACACTTGGAGGAAAAGGCGTGCTCAAAGCCTCATCCCAATTTGGAGTCACTCAAGACATCCTTGATTAAGGCAGCCGCCGATATTGACATGGACCTCGTTCGTGCTGCGGTAGACGACTGGCCGCGCAGATTGAAGGCCTGTATTCAAAATCACGGAGGTCATTTTGAATAAACTTTATTGTCATAAGAATCTATGTTTTGTTAGGTTCATTTTGGTATATAAATGGTTACATAATGAATAAACTTGTTTCAATTATTTTATATTAAACATGTGACAGAATTTATGACCTGACTAGGTAATAACATTATCAGCCTGATCCTAATCCTCTACAACCCTGGAACCTTACCTATCCACCAACATTTACAGATAAAATTGCTTATTTATCTTCAAAAGGTGGCAAACAAGCATAAAGTCCGCCTGATGAATACCAAAAATTTCACATACGCCGTTGCCTACCCTGGCCCAATCCTCTACCTTATAGAGTCCTGGAGCTCTATTTTTGTATCACTCGCCTTGCGTCGGACGCTCGATTTATACTAATTTTTATTCGACATCGAGCGGTCTCTACCACTCGTTTCGCGTTGGTAAACGATGGAGGCGAATGGTAGAATAATTGTCAAATTCATGTCAGATATTTACAAGATTTGAAGAGAAGACAGTAATCATGCGACTTGGAAGTCAAAAGTGACTTAAGTCTCATTCGACGGTACAATGTCAGGCGAGCAAATCAAAAATAGAGCTCCTAGAACCTAACTCGTCGACAGAAACACGATACACCACTACTAAAAGATAGTATTATTTTACGTCTTCCATAAAGTGGAGATTACTCCCCCAGACGGGCACTCCAATTCGAGCTGAGAATCTGCTATGCCCTACACCTCTTAACACCAGATTGATTCACATGATAATAATATTATATAATTTTATACGATTCTTCATTGCTTAATCGGAATGTATGATTGTCTGATTTTAAAATATATAATATGTTTGTGATTGATGACGGTCGATTTTAAGGTGGGATATATTTAGTAATTCGTTATGTATATAGTTTTTATTTTATTAATATATTTTATAATTCCATTGAAATTAGTTATTAATTTTATTTTTTACGGGATAATTGATGTAATATATAAATTTTGATAGTAGATATTTATATTACGTAAATTCAAGAAAATTTTATTTAAATTGTTAGATTGTAAATTTTATTCATAAGAACACCAAGTATTGCCATAACCTGACAGGGTTATGACAGGGTTCATGTAACGTACTTTTAACATGTAACCATCTCTGTAACTACATGAATGCAATAAATGATTTGATATTTGACCATTTACACATAACACCACTATAATATTGTAATTTGTCATCTTATAACAAACCATTATTTTCACTCGGTATGCAGAACTGTTCCAGATCTGAGTGTTCATTATAAAAACATTTTTATTTCTTATACATGTAATTAATTCTCCACAATGAAATTCCCAGTTAAAGAAGAAATAATAATAAATATTTCCAACTAGTCCAAGATTTTTAGATGTCCGCTCTGCATAAAATCCTTCTACGTTATTTTTCGATTGGATTATGTCGGAGGGTGCCCCCCAAGTATAAAACCGAGTTTCTGTCGCCCGAAACTGCGAGCGTTAGCCGCCATCTTGGAAACCGTTTTTTTGCATATATCTCGGAAACGGTAAGTTTTACGTTAAAAACCGAAGAGATCTTTTTTGTAGAGAACAAAATTTCCCATCTTTTTTATACCAAACTTTTCCCCCTATTGTTGATATTTTCCGATATATTGAAGTAAAAAAACCAAATTTTTTGTTTTTGTAAAGTAACTCAATAATTTTTGGAGATACGAAAAAAATGTTTGAATTAAAGTTGGAGAGCATGAAATTTTCTACAAATTTTGTGTAAAACTTTTTCTTGCAAAATGATTAGTTGCTGAGTTCTAGCGCAATAAAAGATCATGAAAATCAGCGGTAAGTGGCAATACGTTACTCTCGCATGCAAACAAAAAGTATAAGTAAATTCGATGTCTCCGCGTAAAGTATTGTTTTACAGAAGGTAAGTAATTTAAGTCGGAACGCCGTTAAAATGAAAAAAATAAAATCGTAAAATTAAAAAAAGTAATAAAATTCTTCCGGTTGTAAACAACGAAAAATTTTATAAATCTAACATCGACGAATAAAATTTATCAAATACAATTTATTAAATTAATATTCTGCGATCCTGATTGGTAAACAGCGACTTATATCGCGCAAATGATAATGAATTTAGATACATAAATAAATTTTCATTCCTTTTTCCAATAATTCGTTAAAATATTTTTATTGTGCAAAATTTCCTTTTTAATCTTTCATTTCCCTCCTTTTCACGATAAATAAAATCGTTACCGTCTTCATGATAAAATTTTTCGATTATACTTTTTTGTTTGCATGCCAGAGTAACGTATTACCGCTCATCGCTGATTTTCGATTCCTGGTGACAATTTTTATTCAGCTGGAACTCAGCAACTAATCATTTTGCAAGAAAAAGTTTTATACTAATAATTTGTAGAAAATTTCATGCTCTCCAACTTTAATTCAAACATTTTTTTCGTATCTCCAAAAATTATTGAGATACTTTACAAAAACAAAAAAATTGGTTTTTTTACTTCAATATATCGGAAAATATCAACAATAGGGGGAAAAGTTTGGTATAAAAAAGATGGGAAATTTTGTTCTCTACAAAAAAGATCTCTTCGGTTTTTAACGTAAAACTTACCGTTTCCGAGATATATGCAAAAAAACGGTTTCCAAGATGGCGGCTAACGCTCGCGGTTTCGGGCGACAGAAACTCGGTTTTATACTTAGGGGGCACCCTCTGATATAATCCAATCAAAAAATCACGTAGAAGGATTTTATGCAGAGCGGACCGATTTTTGGTGCTAAAATTCCTGCACTAAACACTCACACCAATTAGCCTAGCCCCAAAGTAAGCACTATATAAGGCTTGTGTTATGGGATGCTATGGTAACGGATAGAATACATATACTGTGCATATAAAAGTATATTTATACAGAAATATATTAAACATGAATGACTGGAGTACAAATGCTCGTATTCATCACACAAACATCTGCCCCCACCGGGATTCGAACCCGGGACCTCTCGAGTCGGCGACACCATGAAACCCGGAGTACAAACCACTCGGCCACGGAGGTCGTCATCAGAAGAACCGACTAAAGACTCTTCAAACGTATTTCTTAAGAATATATCACTTTTTGAATTCAAGTCTTAATAATCACTGTAATTTAATTAAAATGTAACTTTGTGTTCCGGAAGCAGCTGTTCACGTCGATTTTTCTATGAAACTAGTCACTTTTTGAACAAAATCTTGGCAGTTACAAATAAAATTTAACGAATGGAGCAAAATACGTAAATGTCACTTTTTGTTCCTAACCTCCTCAATTGTAGTCAATTGAAATTTTTAACTTTTTAGCTGCCACATTTATAAATTTAAAGATAATTTTACTAGGCAAAATTCCACTCGGTTCCGTCGTCAGACGGGGTTCGAACCTGCACCTTTCGCTAGTATACTGGAAATGTCGATTTATGTTTACAATCCGGTCATTGACTGATCTTACTTTTGCTTTCTACAAGGAAAGTGTTTTGCTGTTAATAAATACTTCGATTTTACAGGAATACCTAATAAAGACAGTCCTCTTGCATATTGAATAAGAGAGTTAGGGTATAGCGGACTTTCCGCTCGAATTAGGGCGCCCGCCTGGGTAAGTAACCTCCTAACCTTACAGAAGAGCACAGTAAAATAACACTACCTTTTTGTGGTGTTGTGTTTCTATCGGTGAGTAAGGTTCCACGGGGTAGGAGATTGGGTCAGGGTAGGCTACGGCGCGAAAGATATTTTGTTCTTTTTTTTTAAGTGTGTATGCTGTTGGTCGCAGATGACCTTTACAGCGTCACCGTGTTTGGGGACGGCGAGATCCTAAGGGGACCTCAAGCCGAGAATTGGCGAGTGCCTCTAGAGGTATTCCAGGCGGATGGCGTCTCCCCACGGGAGAAGACTCCTCTCCATTTGGAGCCTCTAGACCACTCGAACCTGAGGGGGAATATTTTGGTGCAAGCATCTATAGGCTTTGGTGGCCGCTTATCATCAGGCGGGCCATAAGCTTCTTTGCCCTTTTAACTAAAAAAATGATCATAGGAACAGAAAACATAACAATTGATAAATCTTTTATCTTTTCCACGTCACGGTTGGAGGTGGGAGGTTGGCTACTTTTCACTTTTAATTCCGAACAACTTTGATCCTACCATTGTCAAATCTCATATTTACCATTGACCAGAACACTTTCATTATAAAGGCTGAAATGTGTCTGCTCTTTATTAGATTTTTATTTGACTGCTTGATTTTTATGCGAAATGAAAATTTTGCTGAAATCCTGACTGATGCCTGGTCCGCAAGGAATTGAAAAATATAATGAAGTTAGTAAAAGGGAACTTAAACGAATGTATATTTAAGCTGACTGTTTTTTTTATATATAAAACTAGCTGACCCAGCGAACTTCATACCTCCATAAATATAGGGGTAGGTGGTAGAAGGGTGAATGCCACATAATAAAAAAAATACAATAAATTCAAAAAAATGTTAGGATTGGACAACCCTTACCACTTAGGGGTATGAAAAATAAATAGTAGCCGATTCTCAGACCTTTTGAATATGCATATAAAATTTCATAAAATTCGATCAAGCCGTTTCGGAGGAGTATGGTAACTCACATTGAGACATGAGAATTTTATAGATCAGATAATCCAAACAATTTCTAATGTCTCTTTGTCTTCTTCTATAACAAAAATATCGTGAAAACTCGTCCCTGTTTAAAGAAATCAATTAGGTTTGTACTCACATACTACTTAAATATAAAGCACTGAATAAAGTTTGAAATGCAGTTTACAAAAAACTGTTTTAATACTCACGCGTAACTTTTGCGTAAACACACACGGCACATAGAATGAAAAAGAGCACTTGCATATTTAAAAATTTAAATTCAAAAAAAGAATTTAAGAATAGAATGCACTTCGCTTGCGGCCTTATTGGATGCAATGTTGTTATTGTAAAAACGTTAAGTAACCGGCCGGAGTTGGCTTGGTGAACGGTTACTGAGAAGTGTGCGCCCGCGCCGAATTGTACGATATTTGTACGAGGAAGGACTGATCTCGGCCGACGGTTTGGCAACCGATGAAAAGGATGTCGGATTGGGACAAACGGATCTCTATAGTGGTTCCTTCCCATTTTTTTTGTGAAATTCTACACCTACTAATTTCATGCTCGTCAGACGTTAGCAAAGAATGTTAGAACATTAATTTATAATTATGATCTAACTCTAAGTTCATCGAAATATAGGTTAGTTAATGTCACATTTTTTGCTGTCAAATGGGTAGTCAACCTGATCTACGTGATTTATGCTATCACTGCAGAAGCTGTCTGCTAACAAGAAAGTTATTGGCTCTCCCTGGAACACAGACATTTTGATGGAATTCCAAATTTTAAAGTAAAATACAAGAGGAGTTTGATGATGTAGTGGTAAGCACGTTTGGCCTACGGCCTTAAAAGTTAAGCAACTTTCGGAATGGCCAGTCATTGGAATGGGTGACCAAAAATGATTTATTTTAACTTCCGCCGTGCTTAGAAGTTACGTTGAGTCGTTGGTCCCGGTTGCATCTGTAGTTCCTTACCCCAACACTAAGCTAGCGTGATAGGTCCGCGCCCGATCTCCCTATTTCAATACATAGGTAAGAACCCAGTAGTAGGGACATTAATAGGCTGATGATAATGAAAGTGAGGCATTGCCATACCTAGTAAAATTTATTATACTGAACACATAAATATTTTCTGCGAGATGAATCAGCCAAATATGTGTTCATGTAGTGAGGTAGAGAGTAACTCCTTGATTCAGGTTCGCAAAGTGAGGGTCATTATACAACCTTTACCGCATCAAGTGTATAAACTGGACACACATCTGGCAGGTTGTAGTTTTTACTCTGTCTAAGGGCACCGCAGTCATATCCGGCAGTGAGGGATTAGATCAGAACTTGTTTTACGTGGTAGGTAGGGAAGGCTCTCGGAATAGCCCGAGATGGCCGAGTTACCTAATGGCATACTGCAAGCCTAGGTAGTACTATGTATTACTACATATTATGCGTGTGACAGGCCCCCATAAATCGAACCAACTTTAGCGATTTCGATTTTTAAACGAAAGTCGAGTCATGCGTGTCTAATGTGGGTGTTCTGTACCTCAGAGGCAACAGTCTCAGCCATCTGGATATCTACATGGACCACTGGCGGGTGTGTAGCCAGTCTCTTCTAGGACGCCACGTTATATCCGCTTTCACGGCACGCATAATGGGGACCTCAGACTTCGTAGTGCTTGTGGAATGACCGGTGCAGGGGTATTGTCTGGTTTTTACTGGGGCTCAGCTCATTTCATCGAACTTCCGAGCTTGATAAAACAGGTAGGGAGGAGTCCACGAATACCTTAGTCTTGCTTCTCCCGGTAAGCTACTATCCGTGCGGTGATGGAGAAAGAATACCACACACCGCCCCTTCCCTTCTTCCCGTGGGTGCCGTAAGAAGCGACTATGGGATATCAGAGTTTCCATCCGGTCTTGTGGTGGTAGGGTAGACCTGGTCATACAGGAAGAGGCGAAAGCAGCAGCCTTGAGACTAAGATCTCTGGGCTTATGGAGATTAATCACTGTAACAACACACTTCAATATTCTACAAAAGTGCAAGAAGGAGATCCTGCTCCTGGAGGAACCTATGGATAGAATATTGGGTCAACACGTCTTTGATCGAAGAAACGACATTCAACTTCGACGACCTCCGTGGTCGAGTGGTTTGTACGCCGGGTTTCATGGTGTCGCCGACTCGAGAGGTCCCGGGTTCGAATCCCGGTGGGGGCAGATGTTTGTGTGATGAATACGAGCATTTGTACTCCAGTCATGGATGTTTAATATGTATTTCTATATAAATATACTTATATATGTACAGTATATGTATTCTATCCGTTACCCTAGCATCCCATAACACAAGCCTTACAGTGCTTACTTTGGGGCTAGGCTAATTGGTGTGAGTGTCGGAAATATTTATTATTATTTATTATTATTATTATTAACTTATCGCGGAAAAGGCAGATTACTGTGGCGCCGGGGAAGTTAGATGGCTACAAAACCAACATTGGTACTGGAGCCGGTGTCTTCTCAAACGACCTGAATATAAACATTTCTACAACCTTAGACAAAGGCCCAAATTAAAACGTGGCTGCGTGATAGAACTCAGAAATTAGACTTGACAGAGTGGAAAACAGGTGCAGGATGCCGGCAAACGAAAAACGTAGTTCCGGAGGCAAATAAGAGACTTGCCCACACCCTTTCCAGACTTAATAGGGACAAACTCCGCATAATTATAGGAACCCTAACTGGTCATTGTCCCCTGAACAAACACCTATATACAATAGGAACAGATAGCCCCCTTTGCAGAGGATGTATGGAGGCAGAAGAAACGCCACAGCATATCATCATGGAATGCAGGAGTGTGGCCGGCCAACGGGCACGACTTCTCCAGTCGCCAGAATTGCTTCCGGAAGCTTGCAGCAGTCTGCCAAGGCTGCTTTCCTTTTGGACTAACTTAGGCTGGCTGGAGTAAACGGGAATGTTTCGAGGCACGCGCAATGGTCAATGATTAGTACTTAGTGCGGAAAATGCCCTGAAAAACTAAGTGGTGGTAAGGTGCTTAACATCCGTCTGGTTTGTGAAAAACTTATGAAGTGCATTTCGCGCATTTCGGGTTCAACTAGTGTACAATCAGAGCTCGAGTGGGAGCTGCCACGACAAATTCGATCCAGGACAGGACCTTTCAGTATACACATAATAATGTAGTACAACTCATTTTTATTCCCGGTATCGAAAAAGGTGGAGAATTATGCAAGAAGTTTTATTAAAAGAAAAGAGCGGTATCCAGAGTCGAAACAATTGCTTTTAGATAGCGTCAATTTTTTTTGGTAGAATTAGCCTAGCCCAGCCTGGTGCAAAGTGAGTGTTGAACTCATTGGTAACATAGCAATACGCATAATCGTTAACGATTCATTGGTCAAATGGAATTGAACAAAAACTGTGCCAGATTAAAGGGGGACATTTAAGTAAGTATATAGGATAACGTAGTGGACAGTGGAATAAAAAAAAACTGTACCACAGTAACGCCAATATTGTTTCGGGGAAATCACATTTCCCCGAAACCATATTGACAAGGTATTAAAAACTTTGTCCTTGTTTTACTTCCAGTTTTATTTTACTTTGACAATTTATTTAAAAGCCGGGCGTTGTCAAGTTTTTGTTATTAAATTTTAAACAATATCAAGGTACGTTAATCCATTTTCCACATCTACTCAAGGGTCCACAGCGGATTGTGTAAGTTCTAAATTTTAAGTATCGTGAAAAACATATCCCGGTGTACGATGCATATTTAAATCTCAGGTCAAGAATACTCTTACGAGTAAGGGTTTATAATGATCTGTAACATTATAGTATTTCTTGTAATTTGTTATGTAATGGGCTTTAGACATTTTTCATGACAATAATGTAGTATCTGGAGTGGATATACTAAAAATGTAAAGCTCACTATAAAACTTATTTTATATAGGTACATATGTATATTCTAAATTATGTAATGGAAGGTAACTTCATGAATTATCTCTAAAGTCTTTCTTCAACTTGACTCTGTATATAATAATACAGGAAGAAAAACAGCCCTTGCTGAGTTTCTTACCCGTTCTTTTCATTACAAGGTCTTCCCCCGCCGCGATTTTCGAACTGATGATGTAGCTTCTCGACCTTCACAAGTGCTTGTAACAACCTAGACCGAATAAATGATTTTTGAATTGAATTGCAATATAGGTAATTGCTATAACTTTAAGGCACGAAATTTCGAATGACACGGTAACATAAACAATATTGTTAACCTTATTAAAAGTGCTTACTTCCAGGCGCTTAATAACTATGCCGGCACTGAACGCTGTGATTAGCATTACATCACAATTAGCTCTCAATTTGCTGGCGGTCTCAATGAGATAATTCTGTAGCAGTGTTTATGTAACAACGCGCACCCATGCTACGCGACACTTTTACACGTAACAGGTCGTGGAACTTTACTGCACTATTCGATCGATATTCGGTCGATCAGCCAACTTAACATGACTATTTGAACTTCATGTACGATATTTCAGGTGAGTAGAATTGAACCACGATGGGGGAAGGGGTTGGTTTGGTCGCCTGGACTGAAGACCAGTGTAGCAGTGGCGTAACTTGGGTGGGCCACATGCCCTCACTTTATTGACCCGGAATACCCCTTCGTACGGTCAAGGGGGTAAAAGACCCGTTTCAGGGTCGGTAAAAGGGTCAAGCTCTTTTTAGGGTTTAGCGAGGTAAAACGGCCCTTTTCATGGCCAGGAGGGGAGTGTCACGCCCTAGTAACCTTTGTCATAAGTGGGCGGTGGAAGCTCAACGGCCCTTTTTAGGTGGAAGAGGGACGAGCAGAACTACGTTGACCATTTCATTCTACGCGAGAGCCGCAAGTTCTTCCTACGGTGTAAGACTTGCATTCTTGATCGAGATGCCCCTGATACTCTAGGGCATCACATGTTGGGGTGGGTCTGACAACAGGCAATCGCCGTGGATAAGTTAAGTGTTCCCACGATTTCAACTCGCATTCTAGGGACATTTTCACACGCACTCTAGGGACCTTGGTGTGTGTGTGTCGGGTAACCGGTGCAAAAGAATTTTCTGGAATTGACTGCGTAGAACCCTGCTCATTTTATCGAGTCCCTAAGCTGCATGAAATGAGCAGGGAGGAGTTCGCAGATACCCTAAAGTCGTCATTGTCAGGGATGCGTCGTGTGAGTCAGGGAGGCAGCGTTGCAATATTGCAGGGAACTTTATACCGAACGAATTTTATTTCTAACACTTGTTCAATGTTCAGAAATCAGTAAAGTGCTTCAGTTGTCGCACTAGCGGTGATGCTAAAGGGGACAGCATGAAAATGTAATTGGAAATAAATCTGCTCCGATGATATTGTTTCAATCACATTTTTACAGGCTACCTGATGGCGCGGGTGGTTAGCGCGTTCGACGCGAAGTTAAGCAAATATCGCAGTGGTCGGTCATTGGATTTATG